TATGACGTGAACGCAGCAGCGCGGGTTTAATTAACCGACTGTCACAGTGGTGTGCTGCTCGCTTATCCCAGCCGAAATAGAAAAAAGGGCGGCTGGCTCTAGAGCGCGCGCACCGGGCGTAATTGAAAATTACACACGAGGCACGCGCGAGCGCTGCCTCGCAGTCTAGGAGAGTAATAACTCTCGCTAGGCAAGCTATGTGTCCGCGTGTGTGCGCGTACCCTTCACGACCTCCGACAGTTTTCATATTAAACATACGGACATTATTATATGCAAGAACGGAAAACTTAGATATATCATGGTGATAGTAGTCGTTGATTTTGTGATCTTTTCATTAAACATTTTTTTATAAAGCTGTGCAGCAGACTGACGAATCTTACGCAGATTGGAAAAAGGGTGTACATATTGATCGACGTGAGAAAGAGAGAGAGAGAGAGTCGAACGATACGTTCGGGGGCCGAGAGTCGGCCCAGCGGAACTCACCTCGATGAATACCATTACTATGTAAAAAAGCTCGACTAGAGAGCGACGCATACCACCCGCACCAGCGCTTGTTTACTGTATTGCGGCCTTTCCCATACCCCTTACCCCATACCGGTCGACGTGCCTCCACCAAACTCGTTGCAATGGTAATAGCCCCTGTCTCTCTCTCTCTCTCTCTCTCTCTCTCTTTCACTCTCTCGCGAGTGCCCCTGTCACAGTGTATTTGAATATAGGATAATCATTTTCTGTTCGCCGCCAACGCGCATCAATATGCAGATCCGCACAAATTTCATAGAGAGAATATTTTTTGTTCCTCTTTTATCTTTTTTTTATTGCATCAATGAAAAATGTAAATAACAGCATCTGCGTGTACGTGTAGAGGAAGAGAAAGAGGAAATCTTTTTGGAGGGTGAATTCAAACCGATTTATTGTTAGAGGCGAAATTTCGTCTATAAAAGTTGTTAAAATATAGATCTTGTTAGAATCCGTTATATAATGATGTACTTCTAAAAATGTTAAGGCGTCTCTCTACAAATGAGTATTTTCTATGGCTGACTCCTCGTTATCGCTTCTTTACTCCGCCAAAGATGAGGCAATCCCGTTGGATTTTTCCAAGCGTCGTCGGCCCTTCTCTTCCTTCGCCTTCAGTGAGCAAACAGCATTGGCTTTTCTACTTTTCAAATTAGCGTATCTCGCGTCCAGTTCAAGCTCAACGCACACAAGCAGAGCGAGAGTTGCAAACGCATAAAGCGGCAACGCGCCATCTCGACAATGTCGTCCCATAACGATAACGATAATGCCAGAGAGCGAGAGAGGCACCTTTCCAAAGTATAATGTAATTATACGCGCGAGCCGCGTCCCACGTGTAATGTACAATTATAATCGCGGATGTAATAATAACCATCCATTCTGGTCTTTATTAAGCGAAGCGGGCGGCCGAGCGAGCGTTGCAGTATTCTGTTGTGATGCCCAACCTACGACCGGCCGCTTGCCCGCTGGCTCGCTCTCGCTACGTCTAGTTTATAACGTGGAGAAAGGACACGAATATGCGAGAACGTTGATGGAATTTCAGCGGTAATAGACTACAGCGCTACGCAGCTTTGTCGATCTACATGCATATATGAAGTGCCATGCAGTATAGCGTCCGGCTCGACTCCACCTCGACCCACTCTGACGAGTTGCTAAATTCTCTCGACGTTTTATAAATGTCCTGTTTTTCGTTTCATATGTGCTTTTCTTTTACGCTAAAGTGAACGTCGTCGCGTAATTGCATTTTATTAATGAATAAATTGCTACATTCCTGCCGTACACCTTAGATTACGTTGATTATACATTTGCACCGTTCGCATAACTTTTACTAAATTACATATATCAACGAACTATTTCTGATTCTAACAAATAAGATATTTCAATATACTTCTACTTTTTCAATTTCATTACCACGTTGACTGTAATTAGGAAATTTTACGTAGGATAACTTAAGTTTATACAAGTTGAATAACTACCCTGCTGATATTATAGAAATCTACATTGAATGAATGATTTACTTGAGTTACTACCTTACCATCTGCAGTTATTTTAGTATTAAATACCATGTATTGATAATATTTACTAACAAATGATATTTGTATGGTATTATTTGAAAGAACATTAACTAATATTTGAATTGATAATAATTGTTATATTTTAGAAACATTTTCTTCACATTTTGAGTTTCAAATCACACTTTTATCAATTATAATTAAATTTCCTAATATTCCTAACTAGGATAGCGCTTACTATTATAAGAGCGTATTACGTATTGCTGTATGGTTGTCACGTGGGGTTACATATATGGACCTAACGATAATGTGAAATTTCAAGTAACGGATTCAGAACCCCGCATATATAGACTGAGGTTTATTGTCGTATCACTATTATTGTTGTGCTAATTCCGTCAACGTGAAATTCATTTAAAATCAAGGCGTTCTTTTTCCTCAACAATCTGGTTGTTGAATTTCCTGGAAGTTTATTTTTGCTGTTGTGATAATGAATTTTTCACGATTGTTTTTACCCTGGGTTCTATTCATAGGCATTTTGAACGTAACTAAAAAAAAAGAACTTTTTTTATAAAGTCAAACAATGCCTTTCGAATTGACTTTTATGCCTATAGATATTGCAAGAAAAAAAACTTTTTAAACTATGTCATCGATATATAGATCACTGTATTGTTGACCTTTGTGGGTAATTCGCTACACTCACTAAATATTCTAAACTGTTCTTAAATATAGCAGTAATTCATTTTACTTTAAAAAATATTTAACATTCCGAAGAAAATAATTATTCAATATATTTATAAAGAAGTAACAAATTAATATAATTTCAAGATAATAAAGGTATCATAAAGTATTTATGATACGTTAACAATTTCTACGTAAATATTAGACGAGAAATTGATTAGGCAGCAATTATCTTTATACGACTTAGAATTTCGATTTGATTTTTCGCTTACATAAACGTATGAGTCTTTAAGGTTTCAACTATTATTTAAGTAATTTATTTGTTACTCAAGTAATCTCACAACATTGCAAGAATTTGATTTTTTGAATTTTTTTGTATAAACTGTATGAAATATCATCGCATTCGAATATATTTTGACAAAATATTCAGTGAATCAACAGTGTATATTTAGAAACACAAGTAAAATTTATTTAAAAATATTCCATTAATCTCGTGACGAATTCAATGGCATTTTAAGAAATATCTCATTGATTTCCTTGAGTTTGAATTTCCCTCGGACGTTTATTATTAAAAGTCCAATGACCTAGCATGTGCTCATAACTTTTCTTTATTTTTAGAATAACGAATGAGTCTATTCAGAATTTTTCCAATTTTAACGAGAGAAAGAGTGACAACTACATTTTTTATTCGAGAGCGGGATAGGACATTCTTCTCACTAGGTCGAGATATATATTGATGAAATTCAAAAATGTATTCATCTGAGCAGTTTATTATGTTTCATAAGTAATCAAGTTCATCATAATTCATGAAAGACTATGATATATAAAGTAAGTACATCACTAATGTTTTGTTGTATTGTTCGTTTGGGCAGCGCATGAGTGTAATTGATTAAAAATTCTACACGTACACAGCGTATTACTAGTGTTAATACTCTTAAAACGCCTCAAGATCATTTATTAGAGAATATAATTTCTTTTTCAGTTTGGTATCTCTCACTTTCCTCTTTATTTTCACTGCTAATGTATTGAAGAATGTTTTAAGCACTGGCTATCATTAATAATAATGTATACAAATAATAATCCTCGAGTACGCAAAGTAAGAGACTTTAGAATTTTTAAAACTTGAAGAAAAGGCCTTTAAATTGATGACATGTACATACCAGCCTCAAACTTCTTACTTTTTTGCTTGCTGTTTCGTTCTTTTGCAACTTTTGCTGAGCGACTATCACGCGTTGCCATCGTCATTCTGCTTACTTACCTCTTCTCAAATTATTTCATGCTAATGGCTCTTGTTATGAGTATTACGAAAGATGAGATTTGTGATAAAATTGTTGGTATTAATAAACTTGATATGCATCGGATTTCTTTATGATTTCTTTTGGAAATGGTTAAATTTTATACAATACCAGGTTGGTCTTTCGGTTTTCTCTTTACGAAATAATCTTTTTTTTTTTCAAATTATAAAATAAATCACTGTCAGACTTTTCACAATATAAAATTTATATTCAAATATATCTAATCGACGTAATGACAAATGTGCGCTGATATTTTTATGCTCATTCGATACCAAACGTTTTTTGGAAATTCCATAAAAATTATTTTCCTCCATCAAGACCTTTTACCGCTGTGATTTTGAAGTAAGTAAATATAACTATTAGTCAACCGCGATTCATGAACGATATTTTAAATTTAAAATATAATCAGACAATCTTGACGACTAAGTATCCAAGAATTCCAGGTTTAACAAAAAAAAAAGAAAAAAAAAGTCCTACCGTCGTATCATAGCTCCGCACTAAAAAAGTCTTACAACACATCTATTCGAAGCGATAGAATGAACATTTTATCATCATGCCATTAGCGTACAATTTACGGTTGATCGAGTGTACAGGAGACAAAAAAAATTTTCCTTCGAACCGTACGGGATAACAAAAGATAAAATAATAATCCTTCAAACGTGTGCTAATATGTGTAGTCTACGTCATTAATAGAATTCGTAACAAAAAGAAAAAACCAGATGAGCGCTAATTAAGATGCTACTCCACGTTACTGTCCACAGAAGAATTTTAATCCTTAATGCGTTACGATCAATCGGCCTCCAAAAGTGATAAGCCGGCTTGTGTATATACAACAATAAACGGAAGCAAGCTATTCTTTCGGTCGCAGAGAGCCATCACACAATCACGGTATGGCATTGTTGCCTCGTGAAGAAGAAGAAAGACACCTGCTGCTCCGCGGTTGTTGATTTATATCCCCCCACGCTTACCACAGCTGTGTGTATATACAAGCAGTCTTGGACGATCGGCAGTCAGTCGCTCAGAAGCAGCAGAACTAGCGGAGTAAGAGCTTGTTGTTCTGTAGGTATTGTAAACAGAGTGTAATAGACGCAACCGTCGATTTTCATCATCATGACCAAGGCAACATTGCTTCTCTTTGCCGTGGCTGCAGTTCTTGCTGTCCAAGCGAGTGCTACTCGTGTCAACGAGTGCAAAAGTGGTGAGTTCACGGTCAAATGCGCGTTTATATTTTCAAGCCCATGAGTCGCATACGTGGTTATGCGATAGCTCGCGCGACACTTGCATGTCTCTTACAAGACGTCATATTTGTGTTATAGGCTTTCTAGACAGTTATTCGATATTATTAGACGCATAGCCCCTTTCACTTGCTTTTACAATTTTCCTTCTTCGTTCTTGCATTGATTAATTACCAAACATTAATAGGTCGAGAAGCCATGGAACTGTCTTCTTGCATTTTGTTGTTTTCTTACTGCGTTTCATGCGCGATCTTGCTAATTGATTGTCGGTAGGATTTCCGTGTTAAGACACCGTCAAAAATTATTATCTGTCACGAGTTCATTGTTTTTATTATTATAACTATTATGTTTACTAATCGTGGAAGATATTGAAATAGCTTTGGTAATCGTGAAGAAAAATTGGGTTGAGATAGTCATCGTTGGTAAATTTATCTCTATTGAGTAATAGTATGCTAGTGATTTGATAACCTCGGGTCATACGGAACTATCAAATACTTATCGCAATACAGATTTCCCCAACTAGTAATAACGACGAGAGTTGGATGTTTATGTCTTCGTTGAACTAATTTTCAATCAGAAACGCAATTTTATTTTCATACATTGTTAGCTTCACGAAAATAGAGGGCATGTATGACATCATACGTTATTATCTTCAATATAATTATTATGAGAATTGAGAAAAAAATTTTGTAGATGAATTTTATTTTTACTAGAATTCAACTAGTTCTTATAAGTCATAAAAATCTATCGTAGTAGTTATATCGTACCAATATTTATTTTTTTTACACTCTAAACGGATTACAAAAATTTTACTGAATAAAAATTTTTCTTTTTCAGAAATTTTCTTGTTATATACGTCGTTAATTTTTGCGTTTATTATAAGATTTCACGCTAGCTAAATTGGCACTTTTTTGTAATTAACAACTTCGTTAACGCATTGGGATAATATTGTGATTTTTAAGGTATAACACAGTCAGCTTGTTGAAAACGTAATCGAAAATACAATTCATTCTTATGGTAAAAGAAGACTTAACTCATCCAACATCAGAGCAAGTTACATACTTTACCTTTTAGCTGAAAGAAAAAAAACACAAGTCTAAAATCAATCAGAGTCTACAACAGCAAGTTTTCCCATTCGTTATCTCCGGATAAATCGAAAGCGGGGGTCAACAGTCGGCACGCACGATTCAATAATTACCATCGAACGTGCATTAACGATGTTTATCTTCTAGGAAATGTAGTACTTAAGAAAACATTAACAACCTATCTTTAGCTACACAATTAGTAAATTTGGATAGTTGAACATTTTTTTCTTATCTCTCAAGGCAAACCTCTTCCCGATACTACAAGAGTCGTGGTGACGAACTGCGACGCACCGCCATGCAAACTGAAGAAGCGCACTAAAGTTGGCATCATTCAAAAGTTTACGCCTAACCGTGACATCCCTAAACTTACCACTAATGTCTTTGCAAATATTCTTGGGATGTCATTACCCTTCATCGGTGTTGATGGTACCGATGCTTGTAGTAAAATTTTCAATGCTGATAATGTACCTACCTCGTGTCCACTCAAGCAGGGAGTAGAATATATTTATAAGAACGAGTTTCCCATCCTTCAGATTTATCCCACGGTGAGTTATATTTCTTATTGAATAAGATTATTTTTACAAAATAAATGATAATATGTTAATTTAAAATTTTACAAAACTTAAAATAGTAAAATACATTGATTACTTTAAAAAAATGTGAAAATAATGTTAATTAATTTTCCAATTTGTAATGTAAAAATTCACTTATATTTTATCTATAAATAAAATTATACAATTGTGTAATATAATAATAATAATAGTAATTATAATGATAACAAATATAATAACTATGATAATTTATACAGGTAGATTTGGTCGTACACTGGGCTCTGAAAGAAGGTGACCAAGATGTTACTTGCTTTGAAGTTCCGGCTAGGATACAGCCATAAAACTTGAATAATTATTTCCACTGTGTAGGAGGATTTTATAAATGACTTCAAGATTTAGACTAAATTTTCAAAATGAAAGAGTCTGGTCTTTTCTTTATCAAGTGATCTTACATGCATTTGATTTAATTATACTTGTTAAGTAATAAAAGATTTCTTTTTAATTTTACCTACAATTAATATCATTCAGTTGGATACTGTGACACTTATTTATTACGAAAAGTTATTAACAAAATACATATTTGGAAAATGCACAATGTTGCAGTATACGATCATAGTATATTCTTTTGCTCAGTATATGCTTTTTACTCAATAATTTGCTCAGCTAGCCTTACAAGGAAAATTAATTTTGCTTATAGATTAGCATTTCGACATAATGACATTTAGGTCTTTACGTGTCTAACGATAACATAGCCGCACATCGAAAGTTATGTTACGTTTCTACGAAGCGATTTAATAACGAAATTGCATATTTGTTTTTTAAGCATATTTTAAGATCAATATTATACAGTAATTTTGTTAATTTACTTTGTTATCGTAATTATTGTTTTTTACTCAAATACATTTTTTATTATAAATTTTTCACTCCTGTGAAATACATTTAATAAATTACTCCTGTATGGGCATCTTTTTCATTACAATTTCAAATGATTCAAGTACATAGATCAAATTTGAAAACTGTAACGTACGGAACGTGCAGCAGATAAATGAATTTATCTTGCTATGGTACAAATCATTAATCTGTAAAATGTAAATTTGGTATGCCTTCACCGCAAAGTTCACTGAAATACACACAATATGTCTTCTATCACTTTTCAATAAAAAAAAAATGGAATCAAATTATCATTTATCAGGTTGTTAATTAATATCTATATGGCATTTATTTGTATAATATTGAGCACTATTATATTCAGCATCTACAGTAGTTAAAGCCGATATGATTCAAATTGAATTTATTTAAAGTGTTCCTCGTGTAACACGTTTATTCTATCTTTGAAATGAATTACGATTTAAAAACAAATAGTAATGATAACACCTACATTATCGATGCTTGTACTTTTCGGTTATAACAGTGTTAATGAACTTATAAAGCACTAGTACAGATGGCGGTACTGGCCCATTTCCGGATGGCGCACATATACTGGCTAAAGGCAAACACGGCGGTTCAGAGTCGCGGGTTTTGGTGGAAATCTCGATGACATCACTGAAGGATTTTCAATAAAAATTTTTAATATAGATTTTGCATAATTGTAAAAAAAGACATAGAAATAATGATTATAAAGTAGCTTAAATGCCAATAACAATTACGTACGAGACTAATATATGATTGGGAATAATTGTTATATGAAAATGTGATCTGCCGCCTATATTTTTAATAAAAATTTCTATCAACAAAAATGCGAATTGTTATTGTTAAAGGCTTTTCTCAATTTTGATAATAATTTATATTTAGAAAAGTAAGTTAACTATCAATAAATTTTTCCATCCCTTGATAATAATGTTTATATAATATGTACAGACATACCTAACTGTATAATAATTGATTATCAGATTACAATTAAGTTTATTTTTTATATATAAGTTTTTTTATAAATACAAAAATAATATACCTGTAAATACAGAATAACTAGAGTACGATGAAATATCTAGCTCATTGTATCATAGCTTTAGGAATACAATTTCTATAAGAATCGACTTCATTTTTATGAAAAATTTATATTTTACAATTGAACATGTACTTGCATGAATAAATCAAATGGTTGTGGTAGAAAAATTATAATAATAAGAGCAATTAGACTACTTTAATAACTTTAAATAGTAAACGAGTTTGCAAAATATCCATAGCATATTTAAACACACGGAGAAAAAGTACGGGTATAATTAATGCGTATACTATGGGTATCTTTGTTTCTTTCCAGCTGTGTGCATTTTACTAAATATTCCAAATATACGTTTTAAAATTCAACAGCACGCGGTACAATGTACAAAACTAAATATCCGGGTAAATAAAAGAGTTATAGATTGACAAAAAATCAAATAGAATGATTTCTATTCAAATCTTCACTCCGTAATTTGGACGTGAGTAAAAGTGCAACTAAACGAGATATTTCATCCCCATACTGTACAGTGTATAAATAATTATGACGTAATATCATCAAATCGTTCGACTGAAGAAAAGTAAACAAATAAAATAGTTAATAGCTACAGCTAAGACAACAATTTCTGTACACGATTATGGGCAGGCTATACAATTGTTACGATAATATCTTTATCTCCTTTATTTTGACATTGACCTTTTCTTGGCTTCTTTTACTGCTGCTTTACAGTTGTGAATTTTCGATATAATTGAGGAATTAATGCGAATGTAAAACTTATACAAAAGTACTCAACTGGTTATTTTCATGATCATATTTTCTATGAGGAAACCACAACATTTTGACTATTAACATTTTTAATTTAAAATAAGCAAAATACAATTTATTTTTGCACGCTGTATGAATTTATTTTTTGACATTTATGTCATATTTCGTATCGTAATTTTTCTCTGAAGGCATCCTATATTCTTCACTCATTATTTAAACTTCAATTTTTCTAAAATAACAGTGAGGAATTATAATTAATTTGGTAATTCTACCGTTTCATAAATAATTTTTATATGTAACTTACATTCGTAAATGCATATAAATAAAAAATATTGAATCATTTGGCAGACATAATAGACGTATTAAATCAAATCAACTACTTTATGTAAAGGATTTACTTATGATGTCGACGACAATAGCGCGTCACTAACACAAAAACAAAATCATCCTGCTTACCATCTATTTACTTGCGTAAGCGCTTCCCTATAAAGCTTCGTTCTCTACTTACCAGAACAAATTCACTGGGGTTACTTTTCTCCGCTTACTTAGCAATTAGTTAACTACTTCTTCGTTTTACGTAAATGACGCGGAAGCTTTCGGCAATTCACTCTTACTTCTCTCCTTCTTTTTTTTCTTTCTCAGTATTTGGTTCATTTGAATAGTCAGCAACCCTGCTCTAACACAGTATTGGTATAGCCCCTTCGGTACCAATCACGGTTGCGCATGTGAGAAAAGAAATCCCCATGGGGAGAAAGGGAAGGGAGTAGGGCAGCAACAGCAGGCAGCAAAGCATTACGCGCGCGCTCATCGTCAGCCGCAGGGTGGCGCCGGCGCTCTTCCAGCGCCCCGGTTTCTCACTCCTGTATATATCAGTGTGCGGTCCGACGTCGGCGAAGGACCACGCGTGCGTGGGATATGTCGCGGTTCAAACGATCATCTTTTCAATACTATTATCCGTTTACCAATTAACTTTCTCTTTATCTCGTCAATTCTTCAATGAGTTTTCATTAATCAATCGTCCGACGTGTTACTGATCCTATTCGACAGTTGAAGTTCTGCCGTTTAGGCCAGTGAAATATCGCGACAATAGCGTGACACGTGGTTAGCAAGAGAGATGCTGCGATGTCGATGACACGTGGAAAAATTGAGAGAATGAGATCTTAGAGCATTGTTTAGTCTCAAATAGTGCTTGCAAGCAGTACAGATAAAATAAATAACAATAAATCTGTTTCAAGCAGAATTTGGTGGCTTCGTTGGATGAAACTGCAGAGGCGACACGCTATACCCAATCTCACCCTTTTCATGACGTTTAAACAGCGTGAAGTACAGCGTGACTGAGTGCTCAGGCAGAGAGAGGGAGAGAGAGATAGAGAGAGAGACGTCAGTGGATGCACACCAGTCTGATATGAATCTGCCCATTGAAACGTTTAGAGTAGACCAAGTGTTGTAGTGCAGCGAAATAGAGTGAAAGAGAGAGAGAGAGAGAGAGAGAGAGAGAGAGAGAGAGAGAGAGAGAGAGAGCGTTAAACATCAAGGGGACAGCGACTACCTGCTGTTTCTCGCATGGTGCCGTACCGTGGATATGGTTGCTCGTGTTACTCGTTGATCATGATCGTGGAGTTGACGAGTAGCTGTGTGGTGTCGCGTGGTTAATCAATCGGAACAAATGACTAAAATGTGGTGTCTAGTGCTGACGTTGTCGTCGATGTTACTAGTGGGACTAGTGGATGCCGCTCGCAATTCACAATCTGCAAGCGGCGCTGATTCATCAGGTTGGTAAACACGAGCGGGAGACAATTTTCGCATGCTCGCCACTCGTTTATCAAATTTTTGTAATGGAAGCTGAATATGCCACATTGACCTATACTCTCAAGCGCAATTGATAATTAATCAGCGGACGATGTATCATGCGATGCTCTCACTCTCTCGCAGGCTGCACAAGATTAAAGTGGGTATTATCGTTCTTTCCGATGGGGGCTTGTATCAGGCAATTTCATCGAAGGCCTCGGGTTTTATGTTTTTCATTATCGAGCTGCGTATCTCGCCCGAATCTATATGAAAATCAGTTTGTGTCTACAGGATAAATGTTTTATGCCTCGGCATTATTAAGCACTCGAGCTGTGATTTATTTGGATAATATTTCATCTGCAAACAATGGCGGAACGCAGAGACTGAGAGGATACAGGATATAGTTCGTTACAAAATTTAAATTATTGAGGTATTGATCAAATTTTCGTGCGCCGGATAGAAAGTGTTGTGTATTCTAGTGGCGATGCGGGGTGGCGTAGCGCTCAGAACAGCTTTGAAATTTATTACTGGCAACAATTAATATGCAAATATCATGAGATAGCTGATACGAATGCCCCATTTTTCATCGATCATCGCTCGCCCATTAAGCTTTCGGATTACGCTATTTTATTCTAATTCGCATCATGCACATACTGACGCAAAAATAATTGTTACCCCGCTAACAATTTTGATTTGGAATAAAAAAAATGTAATCGTTACTACTGATAAAATTAGATTGTTACTTTCCATACACGCAAAATCAAAACAGTGAATTTATTTATTTCGTTTTTTGATTCCATAAACAGACGAAAATCTTATAAAATTTAAATAATATAACACAGTAAAATAAACTTAATTTTAATATTGGGCTAAATATATAATCGAGATTTAATAGAAATTGGCAAAATACTTTATTGTCGCTTTTAAGAAAGCGTTAAAACCTTCGTTACAGTTATCATTATACTCGTCTATAGAAGGCTTTGATAATGGTAGATTATAAGGGACAAAGTGAAAATAATAGTCATCGCATAATATTGAATAAAATGAGTAGACTTTACTGAAGGTATCTCAAGATCTGACGGGAAGTTGATGTAATCATGCCATTTGAAATCTGTCGGATTACGTAGTTTGCGAGTGATTTATCGTTCTGTTTCATATTTTTTAATTCGAATGTAAAAACATTCAATTATTTTAATTGGCAAATAAAAGTTTTGAAGGCTTAACAAATGGATACAGTCCGCAAAGTGACGATAATCGGAGCTTTCAAGTATATCACGCGAAGCCGGCCCGAGCGAAGCATTCTAATAAATCACCGTGCATCGAGCGGAATAAAAAAAAAAGGCCCAACTCCTTCGCGTATACATCGGCGAAGTCACAGGGTTCGATTGATTTCCCCTAGCAGCAAACTCATCCATTACCACGCGCGTACGATCCTGAAATAAAATTACGAGAGGAAAATAGAAAATGAGCAAAACATCTTATCACATTGGCATGCAACATAAATTCTAGACAGGGTGGGTGGAAAAACGAAAGACAACGACAGGTATGCGGGAGCGTTAGCTGCAGGTTGCCGCGCAGCGCGACGGTTCGTTGGCGTGCGCGCTTTTTTGAAAAGGTGCAAACGCGTCGTGTTAACGACTCAGCTGGGTGATCCTATAAAAATTCACGAGGGCTCTTTCCTACCCACGCCAGCCTTTTTTTTAACAGCTCGTCCTCGCGCCTCTGCTCTCTACCTGCCTAAGTGTATATGGCTGTGTGTAAGCCAGTGCGCACGATACAGTCGTTAGCTCTTTTTTTTTCTTTTTTCTTCTGCACCACCCTTCCTCCCTAACATTCTTCCACTTCCGTGGACATACAGCATCGCCTCTGGCTTGCCCGCTGTATCTTTCTCACTTTCTCTCTTTATCCCTCGGTCACTCCACCAGTTTTTTTGTTATTGCAGTTTATCTGTGGATTTCAGTTTTAAAGAAAACTCATTGGTATCAATTGATGACAAAAATTATAGTAAATTAAATAATTATTTGGTGATTATTAAATTATGATAAACGTAACACTTTAAACGTTCTAGTTTTTGTAATAAGAATACCAGCTAAAATCGTTGATATTTTTTTACAAATAATGCTAACAAGAACAAAGAAATACATTTTTTGTAAACGTGTATCAAAGGCGATCTCAATCAATCAAAGAGATCGACGATACTTCGATGTAAATTTTGGCCCTTCACTCAGCTCTAAACAAAAAATAAAAGCAGTGTAGAGAAATCGAGAGGTGCGTGAGTTATATTCTCAAATTGGTCACGTACCATGAAAATACTTTCATAACATAAATTTTGAAGTTTACTCACGTGTAAGGAGAATCTCGAAGGTTGATTAGAATACATCCTTCGTTCAAAATGAAAGAATGCACGAAACCATCAATGTCCATATTATACACAGCTCGTTGAAGCGTCTGTGAAAAATATATACATTTGAAAAAGTATGCTTGGAAGAGCGAAACAAGCGAGAAAGAGATGCGACACGTGGACACGGTTGTAAGCTTTATTGCAAGCTGTGAGAAAGAGTTTATCGCCTGTTTTTCCACTCTTGCCATGTTACAGTCTCATGGAAGTGAAGATGCGTTTTGTCGCTTCTTGGATATCTAGTGCATACGTACATGCATGCCCTTGAAGCAGATATTGGACGACGGCGATGACGACGTTTATGTAGCCACCGACACTTGCCTAACGAGAGGATGTAAGTGTCGCGCGCGTGGGGAAAATGAGGTCGATTTTAAATCGGTTACTCTCAATTTCGCGCTCTGCCGAGGGACAAAATTTGATTCCCCGTATTGCCTCTCGGGGTGTATGTAGCTCGTCTTCTTCTTTTCCGTCTCTTTTGTTTCTCCCGCGGACTACTTTATTCTGACTACGTGTGCCTTTCGAAACTTGTATTCTTTCTGTGTCTTTCGCTCTACCTTACTGCAGCTTTTTTCGTCTTTCTTTTCTACCTTGACTGTCTTGTCTCTAGCTTACTTTCTTTTTCTTTCCTCTTGTATTTTAGTCTCTTTACCCCGCGTTGTCCGCGCGTGAATCGGAAAAAGATAATACATTTCACGACGAGCACCTCCACCACTACTGTCATACGACAACGACGACAAAGGCATTCTAAAGTTTATCTATCAATTTCCTCGAGTGCGGTTTTTAGTGAAATTACTTTTTAAGTAAATAATAGTTTTCCAGAATCTGAAGACTCCAGGACGCGTTCAACATGCGAAGGCTTTTAAAGTATACGTCAAAAAAGTGAATCCTCTGGTAATCATTCATCCATTTCATGAAAAAAATGGAAAGGAGGATAATGATAATTCATAGGTCGATCCCTTTATAATCATTAGGAGAGTTTGAATATGAGGTATCGAGCGAATTATGTTCATGTGAATCGTTTATTATCTACTTTCCTAGTTATAGACTGTAATTAACCTTAAGCTATCGTCCGTTGTCTTCGAGGGATGTCATAATGCCTCGCATCAAAATGGTTATAGCTTTATAAATATTAGCTCCTAGCGCCGTTTATCTCCCACAATTTTATTGCAGTCATCGCTTATCCAGCTTGTTTTTTTAGATAAAACCAGAAATTTTAACAAAGTCCAGAGAAATATTATTCACTCAATATTGTTTGCTAATAAAAATAAAATATTTTTTATTTTCATGATACGGCGTAACGGAGCAAAATGTTAATATTTGCTGGTTGGAAGATGTAGATTATACAGCACATTTTCATTACCACATATAATACGAGGCAACTTTGAAAAGAAATATAATTTTTCGTTACGTTTCTGTGCAATACATTTCAACTGATGAACAATATCAATAATTTTCTGGCACACGATAGATTTAACAGTTCAATAATGTCAAAGTTTACCAGCATTATAACTGCACTTTATACATATTGTCCAAACATAATGTATTTCCAATATAACTGAATCCCTTTGATTTTTAAATCATTTATTTACTAGAGTATAAATACTAAACCTACATTTCAAAATAAATTTGGTACTACAAGAGTAATACAGTAGCTCATAAAGTGATTAAAAATATATTCATGAAAACATATTTACATTAAAAATGTTGAGAAATACTTGTATTTCTATCACCAATAAAAATTTATAAAATGTCAATTAGGTTAAATTTCTTTAGTCATAAGATATTTTTGGAAAATTTTGAATAAATAAAGTAAAACAATGTTAAAATAACAGTGCTCCTACCCTCATTTACTTTGATCTTTTATTAACTATCATTGCACCACATTTGCGAAATATAGAAATCGCAAATGTCGGTCAAGCTGCTCGACGGCAATACGCATCGAATTCGACAAATCCAAAGATATTCCAACGGCGTATAGATTCTACGATTGCTTGAGAGGGGGGATACTGCGTCACTGAAAGACTTTCGTTCTCTATCCCCTCTTTTTCATTTCACCTTCCACTTTCGTCTACCTTTTTGTGGCTTACCGAAATTTTCTGTGACCATATCAGATCGAACTTCACCCGTATCTACGTATTTGGGCACACCATATTACATTTTAGTGCACGTACAGATAAAAGCTGTTATTGCCGAACTGTTCGATCATATTGAGCAAAATATGCAAAATTTCTAATAAATTCTTTATATAATTTATTTTAACTACAATTATATTTATTATTGCAAATTGATATTAATGAATTTAAAAAAATTTTAGTAAGTAGTGCGAATTAAGTACTGTCGGACAGTGATTTTCAAATAGTTTAACCTGTTTATGTTTATCATTTCTTTGCCCTATATAGACTACTTCAATTTATATTTTGGAGATAAATTTAAGTAAAATATTGGAAACAAATAAAGTTATCTAGAGGGCCGTATAATTTGTTTTACAGAGAGAAAAAATGCGAACAAACGAGCACATAGTGCTCGAGACAGAAAGCACGTTGTACACCTATAAACCGACTGTTCATAACTCTGTACTTAGACGGCAGGGAGGCATTTTCACCGGATGGCGCGCTACGCCACAGGATCAACAGTGTAAAATCGTTCGAAGTATTAGGTGGCAACAGTAAAGAGGAGGTGGAAGAGGTCGCACACATGCATTTTTCTTTCCCTCTCTCTCTAGCGTCATAAAACTGGACTGGTTCTTTTGGCATACGGGAGAAAGACAGATAAAGAGAGATTTTATCGATTCCAGTGTTTGTAGGTTAATGGCAGTAGCTCGTCATAGAAGCCAGGCTAGCTAGGCAGTAGCTTCTCTCTAAAGGATGACACTTTTAACAACTTATTTTTTTATTTTAATATCTCGATTGGGCGCTGAAATGAGCTTGCTATGTAGACAAATAACAGCAATAGTGCTTATCACAGCTGCTATCACTTTGCAATTATTTTTTTAAAGAAACCTCGGGGTTTACTTGATGTTTTGTTAACGAGGTTGTTTGTAAAATTTAATGAATTGTAGTAGGACTTTTAGCTTGATTTAATGCTCAAGTTGATTTAGCTTGATTAATACAGTTCCTTCGCGATGCTATTATTGTCGAATACGCCCACGCCGACTGCTCTGCATTGCAAATGGTGTTTGAGCTGGTTTAGTAGCTTTAATTTGGTCGATAAGAATAACAAATTTTTCAGTCTTCGGTAACGTCGCTTATTTCTTCTTTTCTGCTTCTAAAATATTCTTCAATACGTTATTTGCTTCGTGAAAAATTATTTAAGGAACGATTTTAATTCATACAAATTAAACAAATTTATAAATATTTTACCTACTTTTATAGATTACTTTCAAAAAGTCGAAAAGCTTAGTTTTATGACTTCAAATTTTATCGACTGTATAGAAATGATATTTTACATTTCGGTTTTTTGCTATTCTATATAATTAACCTGATGCTCAAAAGTAATATACAATCCTCAAAATAGCTACGTCTCGCATGCGAAGACATCCTGACACTGTACTTTATTCGACACATTCAAGAATCCTTATTTGAGCTAGACGATTCGATGTGGCAGCCAAAACCCTGATTGTACCGTTCTTACATAACATCCTACCTAGTTTGTATGAGACTGTCTTAAATTTCAAGCACGTAGGTTTGCCTGGAATGTCATTTCGTACTCCTCCGCATCTCGAGTTCTATCGCAGTTTATAGCTTGTACCGTAATACATTTTCGTATTTCACTGTTTGATTGTGAACAAATTCATTAACGTCATCTCAGTTACATTTTGAAAATATAATGTAATTTATAAAAAGATACTCTGATCAAATGTTGTAGAATTTTCCAACAATGTAACACCGTTTTCAATATCTTCAATTAAAATTTAAGTTAACTTAAATCTTATTTTAAAACTTTCCGGAAAAACCTCATCTATTTTACGAGCTTCGTAAATATCGTAAGAAAGCTCATCTATTATCTCAGAAAAACGTGCCATAAATTAGGTAGACCTAATAAATTCGATTTAGTAACGATAAAATCATTGATTTATGAGGTCTCAAGGTCTTATTATACTCGACTGAACAAAAAAAAGTTTGCATAAAATGATTTGCTTGGATAAATCGTGTTGAAAAAATAAAAGCAAAGTATTTTGAAAATTACAAGTTCTTCTCTCTTTCTCCCTCTCTTTTTCTCTCTCTTAAATTTAAGTGGACAAGGTATATACTTACTTTTCAGTTATATTATTCGTGATATCATTTATAGTGAAACTTGAATGTCATTTAGTAATTCACGACGAGTGAATTATGATAGATGGTAAACAGTATGCGTATAATCTCAAAGGAGGATAAGATATACCGTAGACACTGTGATGTGAAAAAAGCATATCCCAAAGCCCTGATAGAAAGTTTTACAATTCGCATTTTTGGAAACGTATTAAAATGACGGTAAAAGTGAAAATGAGTTTGCAATACTTGTTTTTTAATCACTTTAGCTTTTTCATACTTATTATTCTCGTTGTTGTTTATGAATCTCATTCCAATTCATTTCATGACTAGTCATATTTTTTGAAAGTATACTCGATCATATTTGACCATATCAAGTAATTGTGTTAAAGAATCTTCTGCATTTGTTTTAATAATAAACTTGTATATTTACAGAAAAAAAACATCGTTTTATTATTTATGTGTCGAAAAAATTAATATTATAATTTAAAAAGATTGTCAAATTTTTAATCATTACCTTACTTAATCCTCTACAAACAAAGTATTTGAAACACTCTCAAGCAGCTCAAGCTTCTAAAACTCGTTCACGAACATTCAAACAAAGCACAGCAACTCGTGAAGAGATAGGTTTTCGTTCGTTGTTCTGAGCAAGTGGCCACTTAAAAAGTTTTAATCGTCGACGGAAACCAGCCACTCGTTAGCCCTTCTCATACTAATCTAAGCTACATCGCTTTTTACCATGTGAGAGGGAATGTTGATCGGCTGCTTTTTCACTTTCAAACTAAGGCTATTAATTTTAATCTCATAAAATGCCTAGGATTCATAATGTAAGAATTCGTTCAATCCACGTTATGAAAAGAATTGTTGCTATAGTCCATAACATATTTCCATCATTTGAAAAACGTTAGTATTACTTACCAATAAATTTGATAAGCATCTTTTTCCAAAACAAAAATATATACGATAAAAGCAATATTACTTTGAAAAGATAATCTCATAGTTTTCTTATTTTTCCATTAGTTAAGATGGTTCTAACATGTACGGTATTACATATTCTCAAAGGGATCCATAAAAACTATACTAAAAATTCTTATTATTTTAACTATACACACACGCGCGCGCACGCACATATATATATGTAAACCGCTATTTATGAGTGATTAAATTTTTATTAAATTTATTATTAAAATTAAAAAATGTTTATTAAATTTTCTATACTTGTAATGGATTTTCTAACTTATTTTGGATAAATTTTGGTAAGCTAATCACTATCATGTTTATTTGTGTGTTAGTAGACAAACTATCATCCATTTCTAACAATCTTCTTTTCTTTAACGCTAAATCTAATAACGAGCCATTGTAGAACTTATAATTATAAGCATATTCTATATCTATCCAGGATTGTGCAGCGAAGGTGTCGATAAAGGCATTATTCCATGCCTCCCAATTCAACATAGAGATCTCATTTATAAATACATTATACCAATCTAAAGCTGATTTCTCTAAAAACAATCTTAACACTTCAGCGTATTTATTTTGTAAAATCCCTACTCTGTTACATTCCTGAATAAATAAATTAATCCAAGCATTCGCATTGGTATTATCTCCGTTAAATTTCTTAATCACTATGTCTTTTACCAGAGAACTCGGTTTTCTTTCAAGTGATGTTGTTGCTGTTGACACACTGTTTACACTTGATTCTTGCGCTGTGTTTACTTCTTCCAAATATTCGTCGTACAACACTACATTGCCTTCTGTGTCCAAGTATATCTTCTCTAGTCCGTCAGATAAGGTTATGATGACATTGCGAAATTTGTTGCGCACCTTTAAACTTTTGAACACATTCTTAACAATTTTGTCCTCAAATAACTGTTCGTGTTGAGCACTTGTTTGTTTATTTTCTGGAAACAAAAAACTTTCCTCATGATCGAGTAATTGAATTCTTTTGACTTTAATTATAGTGCTCTTTGAATCAGCTCCAGTCTCCGAGACAAAATAAAACTTTGCTTTTTTCTCCATTGTATTGATATGTAAACCGCTATTTATGAGTGGCCTAATGATGAGATTGAAATCAACACTTGTATGATGTAGTGATATAACTGTAACATTTATTCATAATATGTACATTTTAGCAAAAGCCAAAAATATCACAGTGAACGCATGGACTTAAAACTAACCTGAATCAATACAATTGCCGATAGCAAACCTTTATATACAAGCGTATAATAACATTGATGCTAGCAGCTCGGAGTCTTATATACTGCCTCTCGCACACAAGTCAACGGGCGGTCAAGCCTAGCTTGTCAACATACAAGCTTACACACACACACACACACACACACATATATACACACACACACACACACACACACACACATATATATATATCTAATAAATAAATGTTCTTGTGTCCAATGTACCCAAATCAATATAAACTTGTAAAACACCTTCATTAAACATGAGATTTTTTTATTTGGTCCCCTTTTTCGACGTATATTATTAGGTTAGTTTTGAAAATTTTTGATGACTTTAACATTTTATATACTAATGGCATCTTGTTTGCAAATCAAATCACGTATACTATTTTTTAGTTTGATTAATATTCCACAAATGGTATATCATAAATTAACTTTTCGTAAGTATTCACGTTATAAATTATATCTACCAAAATTTTTTTCACAATTTGAAGTTCAATCTTTATCTTAATTCTGCATTGAACTTGAGATAATTTTGAAGAATCATATAAAAAATATTCATGTGATTTTGTTGTTAAAACTCTAGCGTTAAAAGTGTCTGATAAACAACTTTGTTCACTAATGATAACAATATTTTCAAAGAAAATTTACGTTCTAGAGTTGCAAAGTAGAAAATAAAAATTATAAAGTAATCGCACGTAATACAAAACTAATTTTCACTTTGATCATTTGCGCATAATGGTTTTAAAAATGTTTACTGGTAAAAAAAATTATGCTAGCATAATTGAAAGAAATTTTCTATAGAAAACATTAGTGTGGCACGAACTTCAAAGAAAAATGACAACGCAATTTCAGACATCGCTCGAACGAAACGAAACAAGCTCAAAGACAAAAAGCACATAATCATGCTTATTAAGTTCACATACATACGTCCGAAAAGAAGAACTTGTAAAAGCAAAAGCTAAGAAGGAAACGTTAACGTTAACAAACGCAAACGTTAATGCACGGGCAAGTTAAGCAGGTGTAGCCGGTGTTTCTGTGTCACACAGTATGTATGTACGAGAACTCTTGAATATTACTCTCTGCGAAAGCAAAAGATAAAACGTACGAAAGAGAATGCAAAAAAAGGACTCCAGTATACAGAAAAGTAGAGTCAAACAAATGAAAAAGTCGTAAAGAAAAAGGAAGAAAGAGCCAACATACCACAGTACGCATCGTATATTCTTTTTTTTCTTTTATTTATTCTATCTTCATCTTTCCCTTTCTTCCTCCTGCTCCACGAGCGCCTACGCTGTCGCCTTAGGGGGCACTGAGCACGTAACTCGCCTTTCGTATAGGTAGGTGGATCACTTGCTGTGATTTCAACTGGAATTCTTGAGTTTACCAGTTCAAGCATTGCGCGTCCGTAAGAAGGTCAAGTAGTTTTACCGCTCTTCTTTCAAGGTTGTTGCGCTAGTCCGCAGGGGCGATAGCACTGTATGGTCTCTTGTGGCTTTCGTAATTCTATATACAAGCAGCCGCGTATCTTGGTCTTTTTTCGCACATAATTCGCGTTCAATTGAGGTAGATGCAACAATATTACGGCTCGCTGCAGCACAGACTTCACAGCTTTTTTACTTTCGATCTAATTCTAAAGCTTACGTTTGCTGAGCCCCAGCGCTGGGTGGCTTTTGATGTTTTCAAAAATGAATTTCTGATGGTCTCGGAATTTTTCATTATACGTCTTTCAAAAAGAACGTTGCAAACTTTCCGTCCTTAATTAAAGGCCGGTAATTACGAAACGAGCAAATATCGGGTCGCATAAAAACTTGTAAACTGAACGAGAAGCGATAAAAAATGTTCTTACAAAGATCCTATTTTTCAATTCTAGAACTGAAAATGAACGGCGAAGGTGTGAATTTCAGATTAAAGGAATGAAATAAAAACATTGTACTCCACTGTACGATGTCATGTCAACCCATCTAATTTTACACAGTTAGGTTGGCGGTGAATAACTTATCCACCAATACTAGATTACGAGATTCCGTGCAAATAGAAAACTGCCGTATTCTCCAAATGGATTGTTGGCAGATCGATCCATTATAGGTAGCATATTTAGCGACGAGACATTGCGTATCTGATTAAGTCTACCGATCTGTACGTGCGGTAGCAACCTGCTCTTCTGCCTAGCTTGTCTCGTTCGATTCCCGAATACATCAAGGATTTAAACCTCGATGACGAAGATGATGCATTTGGGAAGGGAGGGACGAGGTGTCGGTAACGGTAGAGTAGCACATCCGTCTACATTACCTTGCATAATTCATGGAAATGTCATAGACGCGCGAGCCGGATAATGGTGGCGCATTGGCAAGGGGTAGGGACAGAATTCGACCTCTCTATTGTATATGTATGTGTATGTGTCGGACTGGAGGAGGTAGAGGAGGCGGCAATGTCGGCACTAATGCGTCGTCGGGTTGAGCGTAGACGAGTGCGTCGGCGATTACGAGAAAAGCAGCAGGATAACCCCGGATATTGAGTGCATGGGATAAACAGATTACTCGTTGGCCCAAGCCCGCTCGCGATTGAGAGAAGGGTCTTGGATGAGAGAATGCAGAGGGCAGTAACTATGTTCTGTTATGTTTTGTTTACAAGAGTGAGAGAGAGTGAGTGAGCGAGACGAAGCAAGAGGATGCCAAAGCACAATGAGATAGCTATGCGATATGTGTGCTTTTGCTGTTTAGTTTGGGGGCTGACTATTCTGTTTACATCTTAGGCAGAAGCTTATACTGCGCCTCCAGCTGCTGCTGAGATATTGCGATAATCATAATCAGATTTTAACATCTTTTAATGGAATATTATTGTATTTTGTACGAATTCATTTCTGTGTATGAATAATAGTTTGTTAATCTTAGATAGGTTTTAGATTTTTTAAATACATTAGAGATGGAACTTTTTCAGTATTTTACTAGTTCATCAGTATCTAATACAAAAATATCGTTTTAGTTAGAAGTGTTCATTGGGATAGTAGTTTTCGATAAATAAACTTTTAATTGTACCAAAATCTTTTTTCTTTCAGATTTCTACTTCAAATTTTAATTACTATAATAATATAATTATATTCGATGCAGCATTGTTTAAACATTTTTTAAGAATTCCAATAAATTATTCGGTTACATATCATTCAATTTTACAAGTGGAAATTTCTAAAATAAGTGTTCTGGAGAAATACAATATTATATTTAATTCTGTATTCATATAAATTTCAAAATCTTCAAGTAAATTGATGACTTTTACTATTCAGTCAAAAATATTGAGTCAAGCTATGAAAATTGTAATAGATTACTCATAGCAAATCAGCTTAAACGATACATGCAGAAATTTATAAAGTAAGCTCCTACACATTTTAAAGAAATTTTTTCGTTATGTTTTCATTGGAATTTCAAAATAACAACATAAATTATTGAGTTTAGTTAAAATATTATATATGATAATGATACATATTAAGTAAACAATCAATGTATACCACTTGGTTTAATCAACCTAGTTGGGTAAATAAATAGTATATTTTGTTTTCCATAAATCGATAAAACAAGCAACTATACATACTTAATAAATGTAATAAAAGTTTCCCACTGATTCATTTTTATAAATGTTGGTGGTTCTCTATATATTTACATATGAAGCTATGTGAAGAGGGTTGACCGGTCCATTTGTTTATCGATTGCTCAAGCTTCATGTTGTTGTACAAGGATGTTTGCAAATAAAAAGAGGCGGTGAACCGACTTGTGGTTTGCTGGTATAGTTTCTACAACAGACCGCAGTACTGCTGACTCGATGTTACAGGTCCTAGTATGCAGAATCGGATCCCAACGTGATTCCCTAAATCAGCTCTATTACACAACAAAATATTATCGGAGATCACGCTCAAAATAAGTCATTTACATTTGAACTATTTATGCCTTAAGCAACCTCGTTTGAACTTTCGAATTTGGATTACATATTGAGAAATTTAAACCAAACATTTTTGTTATAAAAAAACATAAAAAAATTGTATGTAACGAATAACGTTATTGATTTTTGATTAAAAACAGCAGGACAAATTATCTAGTGTTTAAAGTTAAAATAAGAAGCTGATATAGTCTATCTAGGCAAGATATTACGCGTTCAAATATTAGCTAATTAGACCGAGCTTTATAAAAAACAATACACCCAATGTCTTTCACCATCTTAGGTAGAATATTTATTAAATAAGAAAATCATTTTAGTTGACGTAATAAAGTAACATGAAAGTTTCTAATTTCATAAATTTCTAACTTATCAAATGCAATACTGTTAATGAATCCTTTCGAAATAATGTGCAACTTACGTCGCAGAGATAGTACACCAACTCTAGTTCAAAATGAAATGATAGCGACTAGAGCAAGTTTCACAAATGAAAACTATTCTACTAAAGCTTACAACCTGATTCTCCAGGGAAATTTTTGGTCCTGTAATAAAATGTAGCAACATTAACGGGTTATGTTTACTTTACTACCAAACTCCGAAATCAAGTTTAGAATGTAAATACGTCTAAAACTTGACACTTACCGTTTTAATGTTACCCTCAATTAGAAAGTAACTTGATAGTATATAAAATGAAAAGTACAAAACTAATTATTAAAATAACTGTAATCGTGCTTCCAAACTGTGAAATTTCTTATCGAATTAAAAAGAATTCAAATGGAAAGAAACGTATAAGTTAATATTAAGTTAGATAAAATAACTTATCTGCTAGAAAGCGACAGAATAAAACTTTGTGCAGTTATTTATATATACTTTATGTCACCTCAAAATTTTTATCTCTAGTACTTTATCTTTCCATCTGTAGGCGAATCATGTAAATCTCAACGAAACTTTTGAATAAAGTAATTTTTAGACGAGATATAACTTGCAAAAAGTCGAAATCTCCCAGACTAGGAATGTTTTATTTCAAATTTTAACAGAAGAAAAAAAGTTGCTATAGAACCAACTTTTTATTATGCTTTGCGAAAAATAACTTGAATATGTATGAAGTATTTAATTTTAATCATATTTTCGA